GGGAGGAGACCGAAGGGGAAGGTGATAAGGGGGACGAGAAAAAAATATCGGGGGTTTGGAGGGGGGAGCGCGCGCGTGGCCGTCGGATCGCGTCGGGCTCGCATCCGACGGCGGGGGTTTGTGTCAACCTCGCGACTCGAGCTGTGTAAACGTGGAGGGGCCTGGCGGCTGGGCGTGGATAAGGTTCCGGCCTTGGTAAGTTTTCCGGCCTTGGATGGGTTGTGGCAGTTCTAATCCTGACAGCGTGTTTGGTAACAACAGGGAGAGGGCACGGGAGTTTAGCGACGGGAATTTGCCGAGGGATTATATATGGAAAGTTGATTTGAAGTCCCATTCCTCTGTTTGTTATGTGGAGGCAATTAAAGGTGGAAATTTAAGAGATAATTAACTATCCTTATTTAGTTCGTGGGATTAGGCAGAGAAATAACCAACTTTCAACGTCAAACACCACCCCTCACCACGTTCCAACTAACAAAACATTTTTTTCTCTGTCAATTCCCAATCCCCGATTAAATTACCAGGCCCCCCTAGGGAAGAGATTTGAAAGAGTTGGGCCTCTTAATTCCCCTTCCCCTTCCCTTCTTAATTCGCATGTCCTTGAATCAATCAAAGGATTTAAAGTGCCACTTACCTTAAACTCCCATTCCCTGTCTTCAACTCCCCCCAACCAAACACGCTGTGAGCTTAATTCCATGTTTTGGAGAGGAGAGGAGAAGTGGCTCTCACTGTTCTTCGTCCAATGCTGCGCGAATTTGGGGATCTGCTTTTCTTTTCCCTTGGATGCAGTTTCGGGGTTTGATTTGTGGTTCTAAGAGCATCTCTAGCAGATTCCGCATCCCGCCGACTCACAAAACACGTTTGCAGTTTGTGGAAAAACGGCATTGCGGGCCGGCGCGGACGGCCGCAGAGACAGACCCCGCAAAACGACCCGTATAAAAAGATATTCGCGGAGTATACTCTTTTACGGGTCGGCTTTGTGGGGTCTGCTCTTGCGCCCTTGCCGCCGGTCCGCAAATATCAATACCACACCACAAAAATAAAACAATCATCCACATTACAAAATAATTATTCAGAAAAATTATCAATACAAACACAATACAACAATCATCCACATTATAAATAATTATTCAAATCACCGAAGCAAACTAAATAATGTAATATAAAACTTGTCCCGAATACAAATAACACATGAATTAAATAAAAAATGAATAGAAAAATGAGTTTTGTTACTGTCCAGCCCTTTGCCAATGGTGCTCAATGAGATCCTCCTGAAGCTGAAAGTGGGTGTTTGCATTTTCAATCTCCTTGTATGTCTAAAGAAAAGCTCCAATGCAATTAGGGTCTCTAGCTGGTTTGACACGGCTACCCACATTGTCGTAGAAGAACTTCAAGTTCATGCCTCTCTCATCTTTGAGAATCATATTGTGAAGGATAACACATCATGTCATGATGTTTTTCAAGGTCCGCTTGTCCCAAAAATGAGCAGGACCACGAACAATGGCAAACCTAGATTGCAAAACTTCGAATGCTCCTTCAATGTCTTTTCGGGCTGCCTCTTGCACCCTTGCAAATTCACACTGTTTTCAAGGTCCGCTTGTCCCAAAAATGAGCAGGACCACAAGCAATGGCAAACCTAGATTGCAAAGCCCCGAATTCGCATTTCTTCTTTCAGTAAAATACCGACAATTTGCCTCGCAAGTTTGAACAATTTTCACAAAGAGGGATCGGCGCATTCGGTACCTTCTCCGGAAGAGGTACAGTGGATATGTTGGATTCTCCGCGAAGTAGTCTTGCATCAACATCTCGTTCCCAAGATGGTGATTCCGAGGAATGCAAAGATGCCCGACGGTCGATCCTCGCCGCCTCTTTCGGTTCTCGTCTTCGTGCTCCTTCACGGCAAGAGCCATTACCAACGTCTGCTGCCGATAGTTTGCAAGCAACGTCTCAACATCCGAGTCGTCCAAATCGGATGAATCGTCGAGCAAAAACTTCTCGCACGGGCTCAATTCCATCTACATGAACAAAAATCACACGCCGCGTCAACCAACTATGCATAGCGCTTGACACAAAGCACAAGCAAACACTAATAGACGGCTCGTGGGGCGGGCGATCTCGGGCGGCGACGTGGGGCGGCGACGTGGGGCGGCTCGAGGGCGGTCGATCCCCGACGGCGACAGTGATGAGGGGCGGCTCTTCTCACCAGGTCCGGGGGGACGGTGCAGTGTATCAGTGGTCGAGGGTGGGGGGCGCCCCCGCGGCATGATTCCGCCTGCAGATTTGGCTGGAATCGCCGGCGGCGGACGAGCGGAACCAATGGCAGGGGGCGGCGGAAGGAGGTGGGGAAAAGGCACGGGCTGAAACGTCCCTCCCGCTAACCGCTTCACTACGATACGAGGCGGAAACATGCATATTTGCGAGTTGGGGCCGAGATTTTGCCGCACCCTTCAAAAAAATTTACAGACCTGCCGCGTGGGTCTGTTTGGGCGATTTTTTACGTGCACCCGTATTTTGGCGGTTATTTTACGGGTCGGGACTTTTTGCGGGGTCTAGTTACTCTAAATGGATCTTGCATCGCGGGTGCTCCGGCACGTCCATGTGACCATATGAGATGGCGTCATATGAGAAGAATAAAACGTTGGTGGACACGTTCGAAGCACCAGCAAGTTAATCACGGTTTTATTCGCAAAAAAAAAAGTTTATCACGGTTTCTAAGATGGAGATTCCATGGACACCATGTGCTCACAAAATGGAGGTAAAGTAGTCGACCACACGAATAACTTTGCTTAAATTATCATTAGTTTAAGCCAAATATTAACAATCTAGCGTCTGCCAACTAACATCCAAATTTGCCATGCGAAGACAGAAAAAATCTGTCATAACATTGTGTAAGATTTGCCATGCTATAAAGTGAACATGTAGTGTAAAAAAATACTATCAAAAAGATTACCATTATGCAATGACTAATTGTCATGCTTTTGATCAGAATCCTAAGTACCTGAGGCCATCGTATTTTTAAGCTAAAAATCCGACATCATATGTATATTGGGGTTGTTTAATTAGCTATTTGTCCTCCTTAATCTCCCTTCACATGTGCTCAAATGATGTTCTAGTGGAAGGGAAAATAGCAGCTACATGTTTTCAGAGACCGGCTCAGGACACATGTAGAATTGATGAAGAGGGCTGCTCTTGGTTCGTTCCAGCTGAGGGTAGAGTCAAACTCAATTCGGACGCTTCGGTCTTGGGCTCTACTGCGGGAGCCGGAATGATCCTAAGGGTCCAGAAGGGAGAAATAGTTTTCAGTGCTTGCAGATTTCTCTATGCATGTGATGATGTTTTGGAGGCGGAGTTACTTGCAATAAGGGAAGGAATTTCGTTGGCCCTACAGTGAAGTAATTTACCAATAGATGTGGAGTCTGATTGTTTAGAGGATGTCAATATGATTAAGGGAGGTATCAGCAATAGATCTAAATATGCTTTCATTATTAAAGAGATCATTAGTAGTAAGGGAGAGAGGAATTCTTGCATTGCTCATACTCGCCGAAGCTGTAATAGGGTTAGTCATGTCTTGGCAAATTTTGATAGGTTGCAACACCGAACTGGTTTGGCTAGGCTCTGATCCAGAAGATGTTTTGACACTTGTGGGACGAAATGTAATTTCTGATCTTTGAGTAATGCAAGAATTTTTCACAAAAAAAGCAATGTAAAATCATAGACAGTAAAATAAAAATAGACATGTGATGAGCATTTTTCAAACATCACTAGAGTAAAAAAAAGGTGCAATTCCATTTAGCATGTTAGTTGAGGTGTTCATTCATTCAGTCTAAATAAAGAGACTACGTTGGTCTTAAATCACTTATCGCCCAATCATCTAAAAATAAAATAAAATAAAATAAAAATTGGTCACGTTTTCTGAAGTACATAAACAATTTGAAAATTTATTAACAAAAAAGGTATATATCTCTAATTTTTAGAATGTTTAGGTCTTATAAATTTTGTTTCTTAATATTAATGATTGGATGTAACTGTAAGTTTTTCAATTTTTGTTATTAACTTAGTTGTAATTTATTATTAATTTTTTTATATTTTATTTTAACAAATCAATTATTAATTCAGTTCATGAATTTAGAATTCTTGTTTATAAAAAGACTATATTTTTTTTCAAAATCATATTAAGGATTATTGAGACAAATAATCCAGTTTTTTACAAGATTAGGTTGATGAGCCCCTCGGTCCACACTAGCATTTGGGCCTGAAATATATTTTTGTTGTTTAGTGAAAGTTTTTGTTTCATGTCATTTTTCGATCAAACTCAGAAACACGTATGATCAAATGTGGGTC